TCATGCTTCCATCATTTCAGATTTTTCTTTTGTTTGTACTTAGTTATGACCATCGCTGATAGTGCACTATGACACTTATCATCCGCCACTTAGATACGACACTTAGACATTTATCATCCCTTTCTTTACAGTAACTGAGTACTGAATCTTTACCTCCAGTAGTGATTACTCCTCTCAGTTTTTCCTTTCATGATTTGGTGACAACGACAAATTCAATATCTTCTCAATTGGGGGGGGAGGAGGGGGGGGGGGGAACCAAAATTAACATAATCACTACACACACGACTTTTTCCTTTCACTTTTCGACTGATGAAAGTATCGTTTGCTTGGACATCATAGCTATAAATTTTCCAGTTTGTTCTGCTTTTGTGCACTAATCCAGGTATGCTACCAACTTGTTTCTATTGCGGATATGATTCATTGCGTTGTAATCTCATTTAGAATCGATTTCAGTACTTCCCAATTCCTTACATGATGATTTTCATCTTCGTCTTTCGTCTTGTAAGTTGCAAATATCAGTATTTTTACATATTATTCTACATTTATTATTCTATCGATTACTTCGTGAATTTCCGTATCTCAGTTCACAATGAATACCCAGGACTGCATGCTGAAAAAAACCTAATTAGACGAGGAAGTTTCTCTTGAAATTGTTTCACCATCTACATTTGTCATTTGTTGAAATAATGAGAGAAGAGGTCAGTCAAACGTGTGAGTTTATACTGTGGAGAGTGTCGCTAAATAATGAAATTTCCAAGAATAAGTTCTACTTGCAAAACTGTGTTTGTTCAACTTAAATGAGTTTCTGGTGTCAGAATAACCGAAATAATTTTATAATATAGAAATGTGTCGCTATTGTAAAAATGTAATATTGCATCACATAAATCAACTCATTTTGTATAGATGTTCCCATCTGATCTTCTAGTTTATTTACAATAGTAGAAATTTGGTAAACAAACTCTCACTATAAAAAGAGAGGATGCTCATCATTGATAGATCATTCATTGAATCCATTCAAATTTTATGTGAACAATGAATCCCTCCATTAATCAATCAAAATAATAATCACAACTATTTCTCCATATCAAAAAAAAAAAAAATACTTTCACCTTCGATCTTTTTTAAAAAAATCTCTTTTTCATGGTTGTCAACGCAAAACACTCCAATACTTCCTTGGCAATTGATACTATTGGTCGTGTTATCTTGTAATGCATAAAAATAAGAAATAGTTACACAGTGGATCTTTCACATATCTTACAATATACTTTCAGACTGCATATTCGGGATTTTGATACAACTCGAATTGCGATCTAAGATCCACAAGTTACGATGGAATCTCCCTAATAGAAAAACGGAGAAACAACAGAATGATTGATAACAAGGAACAAAACTGGTGTGAAATAGTGATACAAAGATATTATCACAAGTTTTTGCCGTCTCCCGCATCATTTACTCTCTTTCCACTTAGTATCTTTTATCTTATCTCGGGATCTAGAAGTAGGTAAGGACGCAAAAAGTAAAAAAGAAATAAGGAAATAAAACAGAAAGAGGGCAATGGAAATAAAATAAAGAAATAAAATTAGAAGGAAAGAAGCAAGAGTAGATCATATTTTTATATCATTTGTTTCTGATTGCAATTTCTGATCTGAAACTAAGAATTTAGAAATCGATGGATATCTCTTTCTCATCACATTTATAGTAACTTATCATCGTTATCGTTATCGTTGACAATCATAATTAGTTATTTACCTCAATAATGATAAGTAAAGAATTTCCGTTAACTGTTTACTTTTGCCTATAGATAGTTTGATTTTTTTTTCTTTTTGGAACATCAAAAGAATCAAATCAATGTACTAAAGTTTTGAATCTGCGAACATGTCTTTCTTGTTTCTTTGTCTTGAAAGCAGGTTAGATAACATGATTCATCCATTTCTTGCACAATTATTGCTTTTTCGGCTTCTGTCTTTCCATTTGTTTAAACAGAATCAATCAATTAATCAACCTATCAGCTACATTATAAATTATTTAAATTGCTCTTTTCGTCAGACGTGAAGTGCCAAACGTCACACGTATGTCAGATTATTGATAAACGTTGTCATCTCTTTCGAAATCCTTATTGAATTAGCCTAGTAATGACACCACCATAGTTACCTGCAAACAGAATAGAGATATTGGATCCAATTTTCTAAAATAAGATAGTAACGGGTAAGCGAATGCCTGTCATTAAATTATTACATCATTTCCAAGATGCTAATAATTATTGATTCTAGAGTAGTAACTGTAATGCTAACCTCTAAAGCTGTTGTTTGTCTTCGATTGAAGTGATTGATTTATTCATATTTTTGATAGCTTGTAATTATGGAAGGAGGTCACGGGACGAGTACTTTTCCTATTTGTCTTCTTGACGGATTTAAATGGTGCAGTTTGTGATATTAAAGTTTTCTTCAAGTTCACAATGAAATATTAGGAGAGATATTGCCTATGCGAGCATCAACTTGTACAACTTATGCATTTGTTTCAAGAAAAAGGAAATGGATTACAAAGTTCGACCGAGAAAAGCTACTGATAGTGGTGTCCAAAAGATGGGGCAGTGAAATAAAACATGTCTTCTTCTCTCGAGAGCATAATTAAATTATGCTACTGAAATATGCAGGCCACCGATCTCGAATATAACGGTTCAATCATGCTAAATTTAATTTAATAATTTATTTAATTGATTATTCTATAGCAAACAAAGACCAGTGATTAAAGAACAGCAGGAGGTATAATAGATGAAGTTCATACACGATATGCAGCAGCAAATTGATACCTATTGTGTATGCAT